CGAAAGCCACTTGTGTAAAGTGCAGATAAATACCGGTACATGTGCAAGTATCAAAATTAAGGACAAAAAACCCTTGGTACCTGTGATTTGAGGTAGAGCTTCATTTCACCCCTGGAATGATGAGGGTTCTTCTTTAAAATATATTTCAATGATGGTTCTCTTCTGTCCAGATCACAGTCTTTTAACAAGAATTGCTGTAAAAAATTATATCTTTCTTTTAGCAGTTACCATGTTATAATACAGCTGTAAAACATACATGTATGTACAAGATAACAATAAAAGGTTCAGATTGTTTCTTATGCACGTTTTGTATTATGAAAAATTTTGAGAGTAGCCATCATGCCCAGGACTATTAGCCACTGGCTTTTTGCTGGTCGTCAGTGCTTCCTAAGAACACTGATGCAAACCAAGAGAATGGCTTCATAGCTGTTTGCATGCTTACATGCCTATATTTCATTCCGCACCTCCTTGGCCTCTGTCTTGGTTATAAGAGCATGTTTTCCTTCATGGTCTCTGTAAAAAAAACAAAAAATTATATAACAAAAAGAATCAGTTGAAAAGGAGTTGATGTCCTGGCTGTCATAAGACAGGGTGCGACATTCATGTCACTGTCAAACTGTACACCAGAATACTGTGCATAGTAGTCAGTAAGTAAGTTGGTACAAATTAACTGATAACCCTGTGGTCCAGATAAACAGTTTATCTCCTTTTCATTGTCTTTGTCAATGCTTTGTGGGTTGAAAAATCCCCTCCACAAGACATTCACTATTGTTAACCTTTTAGAGATTATAACTGAAGGATCTTTCTTGCTTAAAAGGCAAGCAAACGATTTCTGGTTAGTGGGACGATGTGCACACATCATGTTATGGAGCATTGGCATGCAGCTAACAGGCTCTGGAAAAAAGCAAACACTTTTGATTTAGATCACACAGATTTACTGCCTATTTTCTAAGTTTTCTAAGAATAATAAGCTATTTTTCTCGTACAAATTATCAAGTATTTGCACTAACCTACAGTTATCACAAACAGGAACTTCAAAATGCTTGTAGACATAAGAAGTCAAGAACTCTTTCTGGCATTCACAACAATGTAGCCGGTCTCCATAAAGTATAGGAGCTGTATCAACAGAAACAAAATATGGGTGACTTTTTAAGTCGGCACACCCCTTGGAGCGATACTTCCTTTTATACCATGCCAAAGAAAAAAAGCCAATCAGAATACAGGAAAGCTGTTATATATTTGATGATATCACAGCCAACCTTCTCATCATGCACTGCAGGCATGTCAAATTGATTGTGTTAGGCACTGTATTTTCTATGACATGGTATAAAACAGTTATGCAAAACTCTCTTGTGATATCCCATGAAATATCCCACTTCTCACTTGTATTTTCTTGGTATACAAACTCACCTAAAGGCTCGTGTGTATACCCAGAAAATACAAGTGACTCATGGGATACCTCATGGTACAGTACCACTCAAAAGCATTACATGCTTAGTTCCTTGCCCCCGAGTGGGGGATAGGGCGGAAGCATTACATAACTGGCGTATATTCAGGGCTCAAAAAAAAAAAAAAAAAAAAAANGTATCGATTTTAGCCATTTTGATCATTAATAGGGTCTGGTTTTTGCACTTTAGTCTTGAATTGGGCATGTTTTTTAGAAGAACTAACTTTTTCATCTTTATTGATAAGAACATAAACAAAGGCCCCTCTCGATGTCTTTTGACTCTGGTCTGAACTAGGGAACTACTAGACAGGCTCTAAGGGCTACTATCAGGCATTCCACAGCAGGTGGATTCTGACCAGACTAACCTTGCTGGCAGGACAAAAAATAAACAGTCCAACCCGACCTCAAATCCCGACACACGTGCTCTTTTGCTGATCTTGTTTACAAAATATTAACCCTGCGATCAGGCGTTCTTTTTTTTCGGCGAACGGGGAGAAAAAGAACGCCTGAACGCAGGTTAATAAAATATGAAAAAAAAAAAAAAAAAAAAAATTGAATTCAAACTTGCCCTTCTACAATTAGCTCTCAAATTGTGCTTGCCCTGGGCAAGTCAGGCTGCTCTTTTTCGTTAATTAGTTGGTAGAGGACTAACCCATCAGGCAAGTGAGAATGAAAAGTTATTATACTTGCCAGGCAAGAAAATCTACTTGTCCTGAATGACTGGACGGCACTTTTTTCGAGCCGTTGTATAAGCTATATAGCAGGATATAGGAATGCGTGGCTATTTTTGTCTGAAATGGCATAGAGTTTGACCATTTTAGTCTGAAGTATAGTTTTGAATTACAAACTGGTATTATGTAACTATCATCGTTCGTTCTCNTCCGCTACAATCGTGAATTTTTCAATGCATTTCACACGTTTTGCTACAAATTGTTTCTTTACATTTCCAGTTATCTTTTTACGTTATTTTGTGGTATTATGTTTCAGCGCCGTAGTTCTGAAAAAAAAAAAAAAAAGAAAAGAAACTTGAATCCATGCCACCGATTGATCGAGGGCTTCAATAATCAATTGCAGCGGCTTTGACGATGAAATCAATGCAGGAATAATAATCACTCACCAGTTTCATGATCAAATGTTCGCCCACACGTGATCATTAATTTATCATGTTTTCAACTATACACTGGGGAGACAGGAAGAAGGCCATTGCTTCCGGAAGAACCAAAACGCCTCGAGCCTAGATTAGACGCTACACATTTTAATCTAGCCCTACAACTGAACCAGCGTTGATTCCCGGCTACAGCCGTCTTTTTGTGGGCCGTGCACCGAAAAAGCCACTAAAACTACATCTGGTACACATTTCCCGACCGAAGCTTTCCCGACCGTTTGTTTCCGTCAGCCCCAAATCAATCGTCGGTATTCAACGTTCCCTTGCTTCGGGGTATTACTAATTTGTTTTCACAGAATTGTTGTTGTGAAGAACGTAGCGGTTTACTGCTGACACTGACTAAAGAATATGGAGCGTCGGTATTTGAATAGAAAAGCCCAGTGAAAAACATCTAGGATTGTATACTTGGTGAGTCTTTAAAAAAGGAAGCAAAGACTTACCTATTTGGCAGAAAATGTCGGCTTGTCACCACTTCCTTGATTCCCCCCCCCCCCCCCCCCCCCCTCCCTAAAAAAAAGGACCTAGCAAAATCAATCATCTTTAAACGCTGAATAATTGAATTTTTTGATCGAAACTATTTTTCATCTACCGGTGAACTGATAACGCCTTTTGCTGCGCTCTTTGTTAAATCTGACATCAAAAATAAAATACCGCGGCACCAGTCAGATATGAGGAAGCTTTGATACGCAGGCGAGCAATCATTTTTCATATAAAACACAATTTAACATAGGACGCATCACGTCGTTCATGATTATTTATTTTTCTCTTTCTCGTCTGACACGATTTTATTTCTTTGGGTTTTCTTTCTTACATTACTGTTTCATTCGACAGTTCAATAAACTGACGCAAAATTCAAGTTCAGTTTTTCAGAATAGTTTACTTTCTTATATTACCTCTGAAAAGTTGGTATAACGTATATCTGGGTTCAGATATCATACATAAAGTATGTTAGTAACATGCACTTAAAATCAGAGCTTACGTAGCGAACTTTCTTTGCACATATTATATACATCATGTTATTTCTTACATACGTACTCGTAGGAATAACGAGTGTGTCTCCTGTGATAGTTACCGCATTGATAGCCATAAATCGACATAAAACAAGTTGAATAAAACTTAGCTTGCCTGTTATTGTTGTTGTTGTTTGTTTGTTTGTTTGTTTGTTTGTTTTTCTTTCTCACGGTCTTGTGTCACAATGGCAAAACAAGTTTCGAGGGCAGACAAAGCAAGTCAAGATAAAATTCACGATTCATTGGGGAATCAAGACAAAACTGTTGCACCCTTGAATCAACTCGGCTAAACTTGAGAAAGGTGTGAAACAGATTCGTTCGGAAAAAACGAGCCTGTTTTCCTGATAAATGATCTATGATTTTTCCTTTTAGAGTCGACTGAACCATCAGTTACAAATGGTGCAGTTTCCAAGAAAACTGATACGGTCGAGTTTTTGTATAGTAGCAACAAATTTAAAGTTTTAGTTAAGAAATACTTTAACAAGCCAGCGACTCAACTATACATGTATTCTTACAACAACAATGCTTTATTCACTCTAGGACCCTCTAGACACTTGATACGCATTTGCATAGAAAATAAAGATATGTGCTTAAAGTCGAGCCAAGGGGATAAATGAACCTTGCGGTTTTCAAGTTATCCCCCTGCCTTTTATGTGCAAAACAAAATAAGGCCAAGGGAATAGCACTATGCTTGAGATTTTCGACTTAATTATACCTAGGCTAAGCCTTAATAGAAGTTAATAATGGTACTCTTAGCATTTAAAACTTCATCCCGAACATTTAACTTAAATACACAGTAAGAGATGTTTTAACCTTCGTCATTTCTAACAACACCAACTGTAATCACTGATAACTTTTTGTTATCTCCTAACCAAAAAGCATTAAGCCTAAAGCTTTAAGCTTTTACAACACCAAGCAATGAACAGCAATCTTCGCATGTTACTGTCACTGGCGACAAGTCGCTTTCTTGAACACGTGGTACAGCCTGGTCCTGTAGTAAGGGTTCATGACCGCATACAACACAGGATTCACCGCTGACCCAATCACTCCAATAGCAGAAGAACAACCATGCAGGTTAAAGTGAAGCTCCGTGTAAGTACCAAAGACGCCACCAAGTTGGACGAGAAGAAACGGGGTCCAGAAAGCGGTGTAGACGATGGCGACCCAGAAACACAACTTCGTGACGTGTCGCTCGTCCGCCGAGCCATTCACTCCTTCTATGTGAGTGTGCAGCGTTCGGAATATCTGGACGTACGTCACGGCTGTTATGAGAATGGAAAGGCCATAGAGGGTCGCTGAGTAGCCGAGGAAGATTTTCGCGTAGGTGTCCAAGCGCTGGTTGATCAACAGGCAGCGGTAAAGTTTCGGGGTGGTGTCACCACTTGTGAACTCATTTCGAGCCAGTAGGACCATGAACAGCGAGGCCAAGATGCAGAGGAACCAGAAAATGTACATCACCAGGCGTGCTTGCGCCAGAGAGAGCCTTGGATTCTGCGGTCGTAGCATGACGTCTTTTCGATGATACGCCAACAGAGGGAACACGAAATACATCAGTGAAATGCTGAACATGGACAAGAACAAGCTTATTTCACAGACTGGCGTGTTCGCGATGATCTCTCCTTTCGGGTACACTCGGTAGATGAACAGCATCGGCGTGAAGAGAAGGCAGATTAAGAGGTCGGCGATGGCCAAGTTGGTGATGAGAAAGTTGAAAGTCTGGTGAATCGACTTGTCCGTCAAATAGGAGTAGATCACCATTCCATTACCGAGCGAGCCCAGGACGATAGTGAGAAGATACAACGGGCAAACGAAGGCTGTAGTGGCAGTATATTGCTCGTAGTTCTGCATGTCGCCTGATTAATCGTGAAAAACAAGCTGATTTCTGGCCGGCTTCCACACCGCGAACGAAGCTATTGCGAAAAGATCTTCTCGGCATGCGAATCTGTGAACAAAGTACAGCGAACGTGATTTATAGCACAATTTAGGCGCCGCGAATCAATGAGGAACGGAATTAAACTGCACTTTATCAATAGGTTCTATTTTTTGTTATTATTATAGTACGTGGGGCGCAGGTGTGCCGTATGTAAATTAATGAACCCTATGGAGCTTTCACTTTCGCACATCCTGCTATTTGGGTTTGCATTGTGTCTTTGCTCCTCGCCAACACAACAAAACCAATTAAGCAGCTCTATTAGTGCTACTAGCACTTGAAATTCAAAAACGCACGTCGGTCACACTATTCTGGCAAGGAAACACTCCATTTGCAACACCTTAAAGCTATCATACCAGAATCAGACAGAGGTATCAAAACGTGTAAAGCGCAGTTCGCAAAACAAAGCACCTGCCGGAAAGATAACCGCTATTAATTTAACACCCCTGAAAATCGAAGTAGCTGGAAAACACGTATCTAAGATTTGTCCAATCACCGAGCATTAAATCTAATGTGTGCCCTGTAGCAGTTCCATTTCCTCTCGAGGAGAAACAGGTTGATCCTATTGATTCCCTAATAGCCTCTGGGGAATTAAAGATATCCAATAAAATTTGATCCACATATACGGCAAGTATCGCTACAAAAACATTGGTAATATCTCGATCTCTTGTGATACTAAGCCGTATTTAACGATAGGTGTAAAACCGTGTATGCTTATAGAAATAAGATATCTCCCTGTGAAAACAACTGCAAAATATATACATTCGGAAGTGTTTCCAAGATAAATTTTCAACCGTACGTATTCACTTAGTCGGCAATACTTGTTTCTATGGCTATACAACTGCAAAAATCTAACCGTGTCCTCTTTTAAAATTCACTGACCTTTCTGGTCTCCAAAATGCCCCGCTACTGGTCTGAAAACTTTTCTTCAATCTTGATCTCCGAAATAGAGTGATTCAAATAGCAGCAAGCTGTTCCGTGTGCTGAATGTAGACCAACTCTTACAGAGGAATTCAGGAGAGATTTTTTTTTTGTAAGAAAAAAGCGTCGATCGCTGTTTGAACCTGTTTCTCCCCGCAAGCAGCGCTTAATGACAGATTATGAAAAGACCTTGCGATCATAAAACTATAAACCCACTGCGGCACCGCTTGATTCAGCTGATTATTTTTTTTATTATTATTATTCAAATGTTTTTGATCCTGTTGTCCGAAAAAGCCACTCTTTTCAAGATTTTAACACCGCATTATTCATGCTGTTATTGTGCTTGGCACTAACCTTACGAAAAACATCTGACTGTCAGGTGAGGAAGGAAGTGTTTTATAGTCGCCGAACTAGGGGACGAAAAAAAAAAAAAACCAGCAAATTATGCATCTGCACACTTATATTACAAACCTTTTCAGCCGCCGAATGCATTAGTGGACATTTCTTAATGAACAGAACATTCTTAATTGAATACTGGCTTGCTCTCGAGGCAGTCGCGTTTAGTTAGCATTTGTTTTTTAAGCAAAGGACATATACAGTGAACACATTTGCCTGCATTTGCCGAGTTTAAGTACATCTGTGCAAAAGACCGGTATTTTGTTAATATTGTCTGTTCTAAGTATTTGCTTTGTCATATTTTTCTCAGCTGGAGGTGTGCAATAAAAGACTGTTTTTAACTCTAAAAAGCATAAATAAATTTAGAACCTTCAATCACGCTGGCTACAAAAGCAGATAAATTAAGTCTTCACTGGTACATGTTAATTTATTCAGTAATGTGATAACCAAACAGTTTTGCCATTACTGAGTAAACTTACATATACCAAAGAAGACTGAATCTTTAAAAGATCAACCGTAAACAAAGATGAAATAAAATAAATTAACTTAACTATTTGTAAAATATTGCAGAGATAAATTGTATATAAATTAGTTTTGTTACAAATTGCAATCTATGAGGTTAATTTTTTTCATACCAAGCTATTTTTCAGATTCCGCAATCGATTTCAGTTTTTGTGTGGCAGTCTCTGTAAAAGCGATTCACTGCATTTGTGCCCAGTGAACGTTGTCGTGTCACAAGTAAATGTAACGAATTTAGTTGTTTTTGGAAATCGGTACGTCATAATATTGAATTCAGAGCCTGCAAGACGCCTAATTTGAGCATGGCCAAGATGGAAAATTGCCGAAATGGATGAGCTCTCTGTTCAAAAACCACCGAGCGCAACAAAAATTTATTATTATTCCTAGCTATCTCCGTGTTCCTTCAAAAGGCTCAGAGCGCGTGCTACTTTCGATATATTTTGAGTCAGAGGTTCGTACAATTAAAAGTCTACCCAATAGATCACTTTCTGAAACCCTGTCTTCACTGGCGTTATAATTTCTCAAGTCTAGACAGGACCGTCTGTAATTAAACTTCAACTAAATTCTGCCAAACAGATGTTGGGAAGCATAGAAGTGTAAAAATACCTTGCGCTTTTTATCTTCACAGCAACTTCGAACTTTAAGGGCTTTCGAGAATATCACACTTCATAATGCAAATAAGGCTGTCATGCAAATTCAGATTGTTTTCAATGAAAACCGGTTTAAATTGTACATCTAATAAGTATACCTAACTTACAGAAGGTTCCACACAAACAAAACTTAGAAGCGGTGTAAATGGCAAAAATTTTGAATTACGCTAGAGAAAACGAATTTATTTTTTGCCGCTTTGCGTTGTTTTTGCTGTTTGAAATGGCAGGCTTGTCTTCCTTCTCGGCAGTTTACAGGTGATGAGTGCGGAAGTAGTCGTGGATTAACAGATTGTGTAGCCCTAAACACCTGTGACAGCGAGACCAGGTCGCACCTTCAAAATGTTTCTGAAAAAGATCTAATACTGGCAAGTGCAGGTTTTGTAGAGCTCTCAGAAGAACAGGTTAAGAAGATGACGGTTTATCTAGCTCATCGTTTTAATTATGTTTTAATTTACCCTGGGAAAGTACCGGCAACCCCTAACACCTGCCAGTATCCAAGACATCAACGGCGGTGACTGGAACACATGTAATTAATTTCAAGCTAGCCAGGAAAGTTAAAAACATCTTCTGGATAAGCTACACCCGTTGGTTCGCGTAGGTTTTATCTTTGAAGATTTTATTTTGTAACCACTGCATGTTGTTGTCACTGTTTACGTTTGAAGGCCCTAAAGCTGACACAGACTTCATTTTCCCATGAGTCATTTCACGAGTGCGCTATGGGTGTATCCAGGAGTGCATCGTTTAGAGACTATCGGGCACCCTGCCGCAATGAAAGATAGTTTGTTCTGAATATTACACAAATTTTAAAACAACAACAACAACATTAATAAAATTGCTCATTCTTTTATTTACAAAGTTGCTTAGCAATACAACTACCTACTGGTCGTTCAAGGTTCACCATTATTTCGTTTGGGAGGGGGCTGGTGGGCGTGGTATATAATCGTGTGGTCATGCCGCAGATTCTTGGTACTTAACAAACACGGATCAGGAAGTTCAGAGCAACGAGAAGATCTGTTATATGCCTTTGACCGCGCAAGTCAGACATCTTGCTGTGGAAAGCAAGATGTTCGATAAACCAGGCCTGAGAGGCTAAACAGGATCACAGCCGACAACAAGTCAGCTATTCTAATAATGGACTGGGCCATGAAATTTCTTCAAATGAAATATCGCGAGAAGCAGTCCGATTGGGTCGGAAAACGAGGCCTTGGCTGGCACATATCAACGGTCATAACTAAGACTGAATGTTAGCACTGGCAAGGTTGAGCTGAAATCAAATGCGCACATCTTTGATTCGTGCCAACAGGACTGGTATGCAGTCTGCTCAATCATTGAAACACAGTGGAGGTTGTCAAAAAGGATCAAATTTGGTAGTGAACCTATCCACATTCTTAGGGATGTGAATGTCGCCGTTAGGAAAACAAGTTTACAAACTGTCTACTTCAGAATGTATTGGGCATGATAGCTACGCCGGGCTTAAAAATATATATATTTTTTTAACGAACTAACTGAACGAAAATGGTTTTACAAGCCATTTACTGCTACGGGACCCCTGACTAACAGCGTGAAATAATCGTGAATATATTGAGCGGAATCGCAGAACTTAATTTGTGTAACTGAGTTAAATTCAAGTTAGTAGCCTTTTCAACTTTATTTGCCTTCTTCCACCCATCGGAAACTCAGGGTAGCAGGATAAACATTGAATTCCAGACGAAAGTTCCTTTTCTTTCTTCAGTTTCTTGTTTTGATTTTTTTTGCTCGCCGAAAATATGAACTCTCCTGATTGACACATTGTGTTGTAAACCTGCACCAAATTTTGATAAACGCTATTTCAAACAAAATGAAACCAAAGAGAGAAAGTGTACAATTCAGCATAACTATTCTAGCAGTCACTACTATTACAACTTAACATGACTTAACAACCCGGTAAGAATGTCCTGACAGGCTAAAAATAACTTAGGCCTCGTCCACGTGTATCCGGACATTTTTGAATCCGCAACTTTTTCTTTCCAGATACGGCTTCCATCCACACGCATTCAGCGAATTCAGCAGCGAATCTGGATATTTTTAGATCCGCTCTCCAAAGTGGAAAAAAATAAATCCGCAACGAATCCGATAACGTGTGGACGGTGAATCCGGATATTTTCGAATCCGATGACGCAGCAAAATCGTGTCCAGTCTCTTACAGAACAATAACCCAATATGGCGGCACAACGTGTGGGCCTAGTTTCTCTAGAGTGAATCCGGATATCATCGGATGCGTGTGGACAGGCGAAGTCGATTTGAATACACTACGTTTGGACGGGGAAATTTTTGAATCCGGAAAGAAAATGCTGCGGATTCAAAAATATCCGGATACGTGTGGATATGTGTAGACATATCGGATGTGTGTAGACATTCTAGCGTTGTACAATGATGACGACTGAATCTACATTTTCTTTACATCACCTACAGCTCTACAGCTGAAGTACACAAGCGATAAATGTCCGATAAATAATTTCCCTTTCTAGCTAGGCAGTAAGTTCTATGGTAAACGGTTCTAATTTTTAAATATGAGAGTCCTTTTACATATAGACCAAATCTTATTTAACCTATATATAATTTCAGCCGAAACAGCTTTTAGGCCAGACAGAAGATAACAGTAACTTACACCGCAGCCGCTCATTTTAGCTTTTTAATTCAAAGTTTTGGAGGACTCTTTGATGAATTTAAGGCTATTCATGACTTTTTTATTATCCCGAGCAAAGAGCACGTTTTGAGAATATCTGCTTCAAGGTAACATTACTCTATGTGGGAAACTTCAAAATTTATGTGGGAAACTTAGGAACTACGAGCGGTGCAAAATTGTGTGACGGACGCTTTCGCGGCTGAATATTAGCTATGTTGATCGAACTCCTGTAGTTCAAAAAGGTTAGTGCCCAAAGTTTTTTTTCCTGTTCCCGGTACACTAGTCTTAGCACTAAACATGGATATTGGTCGGGGCTCCAGATCACGTTATACTTTTGAGAAACACTCCTTCAACCAGCAGTATGTCCGCTTGAATTTTGCAAAGGCTCTTTGTGGGACATTTTCAAAAAATCATAATTGATTTTTCTTAAGCCCGATTTCTAATATATTAACGTTAATCAAAATATGAAACATGAAATAAAGTGATCTGTAAGTTTATCGTATTTCAGTGAAAGCGTAATTTTTCAGTGCCTTCAGCGTAACGCCTAAATTTGACTCGCAAAAGAACGATTTTAACAGTTTTGGACCGTCCTCGAAAATCGTCGCCGGAATAATTGAAAAATAGCATAAAAAGCCAAATTATTGCTATTTTTGTTTATCATATGGACTAATTGTCTCGCACAGAAAATTTGAAGAAATTCTGTCTTCGGCCGAAAATCAAGTTGTCGGTTATTACATGGACAGCCTCTTAAAACTTGAAGATCATTTCAGCTTTGACAGGACGCTTGTATGTACGTTCATGACCTTTATAATGCAGTGCAATGGTGCGGCACTTGATTTTAGTGCGCTTTCCCTTGTGCCAATCACGAGTTTAATTACTTCTCTCAGTTCCTCGCTTGGCGTACAACCCGTGAAAAGGACTGGGTGCCATTTTGTACTGTGTTTTGGTTTCGAAGGCGATATGGTACCTCTGTTATGCAAATTGTTGTTTTATTTCACCTTTTCATTTCCTCGGCGTGCCTGAGGGTGTCTTTAAATGTCATGGACGCGCACGTACGCTGATATTCACTGACGATTTTCCCTATTCCCTACATCAATCAATCAATAAAACACTTTCCACTGGTAAATGGGGCACTGGTTGCTGCACCGGATTATTATTGATAACTTCAGATAAGCTTAGATAGTGTACGTTATATGAAACTGAACAAGTACATTAAAAACTAGTGTGCCTACTGCCCGCCAGGAAAAAGGCCCTTTTCTTTAGGAGGAAGCCTGATCCCCCTCGAATGCAGAGCCAGGCACATAGGAACCTCGAGGGAGAGAGGTTGTAAGCTACACTAGTGCACTATTTAGACAAGCTATCTGTAATGATATGTATACAGTATACTTCATAAAATAAAATTAGCACATGTTGGTAGCAGGGCCAGTCTAGAATGATTCCCCAAGTAAAATCCCGCCAACACACGATCTCGATTATGATGTTGCCATGACAACTGTCAAATCTCCGGCGAACAGTGAAAACGTAAATTTACTGCTATTCTACGAACCGCAGCAAATAGCAGTTTGTCTCCCCCAAAGGCGATATTGTACCTCTGTTATGCGAATTGTTGTTTTATTTCACCTTTTCATTTCCTCGGCGTGCCTGAGGGTGTCTTTAAATGTCATGGACGCGCACGTACGCTGATATTCACTGATGTTTGTCTCCCTTTACTTGTGTCACGCAATCTTACTCTGAAACATTGGCAATCGATGGTTAAGTGTACAGTAGCCGCTGAAATGAGGCCGATTTTACGATTGACGGAATCTTCTCTACTTTAGAGTTTGTAGGTATTCATGTGTCTGTGTAGAGAAGCTATCTGATGTGAGGTACAAATCATAATTACATAATTACTTTCAAGTTGAGGGAAACCGCAATATGAATAATAATTTTCGGGAGTGAGAAAACATCACAGGAGTAAATAAACCGAAACTTATCAAGAAATGCTTACGACCTAGCAAGAATAAGATTGATTTCGAACGACAAACTTCAAAAAGATTGGTGAATTTATGGACGGCTGGGTGTGCCTCAGCTCGCCCACTTGAAACACGGGCAGCCCAAGCTCTGTCTATGAACCACACAAGCAACACAATATGGCATCGAATTATAAGGGTTTATTGGGGATTTTCTACAATATATCCATGGAGGTAGTTAAAAGTGAAAATTCTCAATAAAAATGGCTTACCTTATTCCAGACGTGTGTTGTTTGCTCCTGGTGTGGTTATTTTACCGAT